CAACTGCACGCGTATCGACTACTGTGCTATTCCTGCATCTGCTTTACACCGAGTCCAGAAATGTGAATGTTGGCAGTATTCGGGGTTCAGACTACAGCTGGCCCAGGGTGTGACACGCAATATAGATCACATCCCACTTGTAGTCGATGTGGTTCTCAATAACCCTGCCGAGACGGAGACGGTCTCTGCGACACCACGAGCCAGATGGAACACGGACTTGCTGATTCGGGCGTGGATGCGGGATGTTCCTGAGTATCATCGATTCTCTCAGATATTACAAGATTGGTCTTATTCCGATATGGGTGGTAAGCGTATGCAATCTCTTGTCCAGATAGGCAAAATCGAAGACGCCTGGCACATGTACAACCAGGCCCTGATCGACGCGGGCCAGCAGGTTTTCGGGAGCAATGACCCTTGGAGGAAATGGCCCGACCAGGAGGACTCCAGAGCAGCACGAGCGCGGGTGAATGCACTCCGAGCACAGCGTCGGCTTAATCACAGCACAGAAGCAGCACAAGCGCAGCTAGACGAACAACTCCAAGCCGCACGCCGTGAACTACACAGCCTCAAACGTCGTGATCGTCGAACACATCAGGCCCAGTGGGCCCACGAGCTCACAGCTGCACAGCACACCCAGGACTGGCATATGGTATGGAAACTGGCACGGAGAATCGCGGGGACGGGAGTCGGGCCAAAAAAACGACGCTTCCAGGCGCTCACCAAGGACCCCCCCGCACTTCAGGACTGGATAGAGTATATGGGAGGTGAAGGCCGACAAGGGGGGATGCAAACACACGTGGTTGCACAAGGGGGTGAACAGGATAGGGATCAAGTAGCAGTCTCGGATCGACTTCGGCAGCACGTTGCACAACACCAAGCCGGGCAGTTTTCTCGTTTTTCGGACGTACCCATAGAGATTCAGCACCGCCAGCAGTGGGACAGACACAGATATACACAGGCCAATCTCGCCGAACAAGATTATCGCGACCTCAAAGTTAGACTTGCTCGTGCTAAACGACGGCGGGCAGTTCCAGAGTGGGCGGCACCCTCAGAAGTGTGGAGACTGGCATTACTTTTTCCGAAGTGGGCTGAGGATCAGGAACTTGATGTGGTTGGGGCCACTGAGTATAGGCGTATTACCATGCACTTATTGACTGGTGTACGAGTCTTTCAGCGTACACCTCAGCTGTGGCATCTTAGTAGTGGGGTGAGAATTGGCAAGAACAACGGTAAGGCTAAGTGTGCAGGTGAACGAGTTATTCATTTGTTGTGTCCATTCGGCAAAGCTTACATCGCTGGCCTGTGGTACCGCAGGGACGCGGCACGACCTCCACAATCCGTGGGATTTGCTGAACATCGACGGCGTGAACAGGCACTTCTACAAGTTCGCATTCTTCAGGACTGGTGTAGGCGAGCTCAGCTTTCTTGGTTCAATGTGTACTATGATCAAGCAAACGCGTTTGCATCGGTTAGCCACGCAGAATTGGATAACACCGTTACTCAGATGCTTATCCAGGATGATGCTGCGCTGGTTTGTCAACGGCATCGGGGTGCGCGGTGCCACTTGACTTTTGAGAACGGTGACTGGGCAATTCTTGAGGCGCAATGTGGAGATCTTCAGGGCGATCAGGCAGCGCCAGATAAGTTCACATATGTATATGATAAACGGATCGTTGATTGGACCAAACTACGGCGGCGTGATTGTGATCAGAATACATTTCTTGTACGGGAGCCACATACAGGCATTGAAGTGGACCTCTCGTGGGCGATTTACGCGGATGATATGGAACGGATGGCAGTCATTCCAGAAGTGAAAGGATCTGCTGCTGTTGCCTCTTCGTTGATTGCACAGTGGGATACAGACCTCACTGACACGCTCTCCGCGCCCACGGGACCATGGCAAAATGCAGGGAAAAAGGAGATCATGTTTCGCACGTACGGCCGAGGAGCGAGGGAGGAGATGGATAAGTTTTACGGGAAGCAGGACGGATGGTACGAGGGCACACCCAAACACACTGTCAAGCACTTAGGCGGTTATCATCATGTTGATGGATGGCTGGGTCCTGATTTTGAAGCCCGAAAAGCTGCAGCACGTCTCGGGCGGTCAGTCTTCGGAGATTTTTGGGCCAAGGGAGGAGTTGAATTGAGAGTTCGTCGAATGATGTTTATGGGGATGGTTTATAACACGTTTCTCTCGGGGCAAGAGGCACAGATCTGGTCCCAGGCAGTTGCTGATCAGGCCGACCAATTCATCATGAAACATTATCGGGTACTTCTTCGGGGAGACGCATGCCACAAACAGTATAACGACGACGGGGAGATCATAAAACACACGGCCGTAACAAATAACAACATACGCCTACAAGCTCGACTTCCTCTGATGGCGAGCACTCTACGATTTAGACGTCTTCGGTGGTTGGCCGAAATGGGCAAGCATCCAGAGGAGAACCTGGCGGTCCTGGCTGCGCTGACAGGTAAGATAGGCGGGAAGGCCCAGTTGAGTCGACGTGGACGGCCCACTCATTCAGCGAATCCATATTTGAAGCAGTTTAGTGAGGATCTTAACGAGCTGTCTCGATATTCTGAGCCGGCAAAAAATATCCTGCGCGAGAAGGGGTGGTTCGCTTTGTTTGATCCTGAGGCGGTGCGAGCTCGACACTTTCGACCCCCTAAATCTATGCTTCACTACTCTTGGGCGGCAGATGGAGGAGGAGGAGGTGGAGGAACACGTGCACTACCTTGTTCGGCTCCTGGTCTGTTTGCTTGTACACAGGTGGGCTCCACGGGTATCCCTTGCACAGAATCTTTCCAGACCTCCAGGGCCCTTCGGGTTCACCAGACCAGAGTACACGGACGGACTGATCGACTTCGACTAGCTATGATATCTAATCAATGTATCTGGTGTGATCGTATTTCTGCTAAGCGTGAATGGGGATATAGTCATATGGAGCAAAGGTATAATACTGGTGCATGTCCTAAGAATCGTGGGGGAGCCGCCGCGGGTAATCGACCTCTCGAAGAACCTAGTAGCTTAGTGTGCCCACTGTGTGATCATCTCGCTCTCGACGTACCCGTACTGAAAGCCCATGTACGTAGTCATTTTGATCACAGCGGTGCTCTGTGGTTGCCGAGGGTCTTTTTCACCGACGTACCTCCAGCCTCGTCTCCCGATGGAGGGCGCGATGACAGTGGCGGGAGCTCAACACCCGCAGAGGCGGGCAGTGACGGGGGCCGGGCTAGACCAACAGACCGAGCGGCTGGTGAAGTCGACGGCGAAGGCAGTGGTGGGCATCGACAACATCGTGAGACGCCACCAGGGCGCGTTGGCGTCATGCCTGCTCTTACCAGAGGAGAACGCAGTGCTGCAGTCGCTCTTGGAGAAGGGCCACACGATTCACGAAAAGAAGGAGGCGCTGAAGGCCGCCAAGCAGCACGCCCAGCTGAAGAAGGAGATCCACAGTTGGGCCCAGTTGTGGTGCCAGATGTGCATGACGATCGCGAAGGATGGCACTATTCCCGAGAAGGCGAAGCCACTGATTCTCAAACACGTGGGAGAAGTGAAGGACCTGACAGTATTGTACCCTCATGTGCACGTATGCTTCACGAAGAAATGCTATCGTCAGAAGGAGTGGAAGAAGGATTGGTATCGTCTGGAGTTGATGGTCTCACCGCAGCTTCAGCCGATGCTCGAGGAGATCCTGGCGATCATCTCGAAGATGCCCGAGGTGGAGCGGAAGGTGGGCGGGCCCGCGCGGGGCCCACATGCTCGCGCGATCGTAGATTGCCTGGTGGAGATGGGGGAGTTCCAGAGGAGCGAGTGAATCCGACTGAGGGACTGAGTGAGAGCAGCAGCAGTAGAGAAGCTAATGCAGAGAGTCTCCAGAGCCTAGGAGCCCAGGAGTCGGGTGTAGAGTTTGATTTCTCCCTCCCTTCCTCCGCCTCCTTCCCTGGGGATCCCTCGTCCTGGTCCGACTCCCAGAACCTCCAGTGGCTTTTGAGGTTTTTTGGGTGCCCTGATGAGCCGAGCACTGTAGGCAGTGTGACGCACGAATCAGGTTCAATATCGTGAGCTAGTACGGCTTTGTCTTTTTCTCTTTGTGGGGTTGGGGCCCCGCTAGTCAGTAAATATGCGAGGTGCGTTCGACCCACGCCTCCTCGGGGTCCCCTGATGCCCCAATAGGAGGCTCGGTCCTATGCGCCAGTGCTCTCATGAGTGTGTGCTGGATCGGCGGTCGGTTGATCGCCCTCCCTGGCCCACAAGCGGCATACGGCCGCAGACAGCGCGAGCTAGGGGTCGTGACGCGTGATGAGCTGCATGACGACGCTGATGACCCACAGGCTCCCCAGGCTGGTACCACCACCACCACCACCTCCTCCTCCTCCTCCTCCTCCTCCTCCTCCTCCTCCTCCTCCTACCTCCCTCTGTTCCTTATCCTCATCCTCCTACCTCCTTCTGTTCCTTATCCTCCTCCTCCTCCTCCTCCTCCTCCTCTTCCTCCTTTTGGTTCCAACTTTCAGAAGGCATCCACGCCAACCGCAGATTCTAGTGGAAGCTGGAGCCTCCTCCTCTTTCTCCTCTTGGTTTCAAATTTCAGAAGGCATCCACCCCAACCGCAGATTCTAGTGGAAGCTGGAGCCCACTCAAGCCTTTATCTGCTTGATGTTGTTTTTATTGCTGGTGGTTGCGTCTCGCCACGTCCAGGCTTTATGCTAGATCCCGATAAGGGGACATGGCACGATGGTTTGATCTCTCGGGGAACAGATCCTCCTCCTCCTCCTCCTCCTCCTCCTTTCGCTTCTCTTCTCCAATCCTCGAATAAGAAAAGCTGCATCGACATACACTTTGCGCGGAACTCCGAAAGCTTACGTGGTAAAAGGCGGGGGCCGGGGCCCCGAGCTGCCGCCGCGGAGGGCCGACGAGGGATGCCAGAGAGTGCCCGCTCCTTGCCCCGTGACGGCCGAGAGCCTCCACAACGGAGTCCTGGCCTCCATCCTGGAGGCGTGGTTTTCCCTGCCGGCCTGGAGTCGTTTTTTTCCCCCTGAGTGGGGGCGCTCTTTCCCTCCAGAGCGGAGGTTCGACTTCCAGCACGGAGGTGTTACACTTCTTTGGCCCTCTTGGTGGGCGGGAGAACGGTGGGGGGGAGGGACCAACAGTCTCCCTTCCCCCAGGGAACCCTCAGGACGGAGGAGGAAGCTTCCTGAGTCAAGGCTTCCCGGCCAGGAACCTGAGGCGGGCCACAGATTCCAGCACCCAGAGGATCACACACCTTCAGTCTGGCCGTCGAACCTCCATTTTGGAGGACAATCTAGACTGGAAGGGTGCATATTCTGGAATGGAAATCGAGCTTTCCCTTCTGAGGTTTGCGATCTTATGAGCCCCCAGGGGAAGGAGCTGACAGTTGCGCGACCATCGCTTCCCTCCCCCTGGCTGGTCTTTTGTGGCAGGAAGAGGACCCCCCATTCGCAAGATAATGGCGAAGAGGACCACAATTTTCGAATACTTCAACTTTGGAGATCGAAGCTCAACCTGGAGCAGGAAGAAACCACATACATTGTAGAAGGAAGCAATTTCCAGAATGGAGGCCAGACTTCAGTTTTAACGGCGTCGTTTCTCTTCTGGGGAGGAGGTGGAAGGATTTGACAAGGTTCCTGAGTTATGCGGCGCTGATCATGATCATGACATTCCGATAATGACTGCAGAGAGGGGTGTTCTTGTGGCTGGACCCCTGCTTGTCTGTGCATCTCACCTTCCTGTCGCACAGTTTTCTGGGACAGGGAGCTGTGTAAGCACATGCCCTCAGTCTACGAGCCAAACAACTTCTGGGAGGAGGGAGGGTGCGGAAAAAACTGTCAGCGTTTGGTCTGAAAGTCTTTGACCATCTGGGGAGGAGGGGCGGGAGGAGGAGGAGGAGGAGGAGGAGGAGGAGGAGGAGGAGGAGGAGAGGAAGGGGGAGGAGGAGGAGGAGGAGGAGGAGGAGGAGGAGGAGGAGGAGGAGGAGGAGGAGGAGGAGGAGGAGGAGTGGGAGGAGGGATTGTTCGGCCTACATCGTCGATGTGTGCGTGTGTGTTTCCTTGATTCTGGATGCCATTTCATCCAGAATGGACGTTTGACCTTTGGAATGGAGTTGTTCGATCTCCGTCGCCCACCCCCCACCACGCAAGATGAGGAGGAGGACGAGGAGGCGGACGACAAGAGAGTGGGTTCGTTTACTCTGTGACGTTGCGGGCTGATTGTCTTGCATCTTCTCTTTCTTGCCAGCCTACAGTTTGCCACTGAGACCGTGCCTCCCAAGTCGGAACTCTTTTCATGTGTAATCGCCGCGCACGGACGCCACGATTCTCGAGAAACTACGTCTGAGCAGCGCGGGGGGGCCGAGGGTGAGTAGGTGGAGGGAGGCAGCGGAGGGTGGAGACGAGGGCGGGAGCGGAGGAGCGGGCGGATGACGGAGGAGGGGGGGAGGAGGGAGGAGCAGAAGGGAGGGAGGAGCGGGAAGGAGGAGTGCAGTCTCGAGGAGGAGGGGGGGGGGGGGCAGATTCGGGTGGGCGGTGGAAGACGCCCTACTCGACGCGCCTCGGCAGGAGTGGGCTCCCTGGGACGGAGTAAAGCTGAGGCCCGTCATGGCGGACGGGGGCAGCTTCGCCGCGCCCCTCGAGCTCGGCGCCGCCAGCGACGGGAGGGGAGGGGGGGCGATCTGGCTTCGCTAACCAAGCAGAAAGTGTGAAGTTTGATTCCAGGTCCTCGCACTTGTGATCCCATCCCAGGTCCTCCTCCTCCTCCTCGTCCTCCTCCTCCTCCTCCTCCTCCTCCTCCTCCTCCTCCTCCCTGTCTATTTCTTTTCCGTGTAAATAACTTCTCCCTGTCGCAAACCGAGGCCAGGTTTTAGGTCGTGCCGGGCGTTTCGCTTGAGATTTCCTCACCATCTATGACCCTGAGGCTTAAACATTAGCAACAGTTTCACGGATTGAGGGCGGGGGGGCAAAATGTGGTTCTCGCTTCAGCGCCGCGAACATTCGTTTAAATTAGTTACAAAAGCTTCACAGATTGAGGGCGGATGGTTTTCAAAATGTGGTTCTCGCCTTAGCGCCGCGCACATTCGCTTTCAACAGTTGTAAGAGTTTCACGGATTGAGGGCGGATGGTTTTCCAAATGTGGTTTTTGCTTTAGCGCCGCGGAGCTGCCAGCCAGCGCGGCTGGCAGTCAGGGGGTTCCGAGGTCAGCTGGCTGACAAATCTCATCAACATGACTTGTCGACGGTCCGCGCTGATTTCTTGGATCTGCGCTGGACCTCCCTGGCGGCGCCTCGGGCGCCGCCCCTGGCGCGCTCTGCGCGCCAGGGAGGGGGGGGTCCAGCGGCGCAGATCCAAGAAGGCAGCGCCGACCGTCGAAAGTTTAGGTGTGCGCCGACTTTCTCTTCCTCGAACCAGGGCCCCAAAGCGAGGAGCTTGCCGACCAGGACCTGACCAAGTCCAGCTGGGGAGAGCGAGGAATGGTGAATGCCT